GGGAGAGGTTTGAACGTCCTATTTTTGAGCACGCCAGTTGACCTACTTTCGAGTCACGCCCACTTTTTTGCAGATATGGAAATGGCCATCTAGATTCATTCGATTTTGTTAAATTTACCTACCTACCTACCTACCTATCTATCTACCTACCTAATCATACCTACATGTAATATTGTGTTTTAGATTCTTCATTACAGTAATTTGACTGGAATATTTTATTACTTTTATTTGAGCGATAATCGAAAACCATAAGGGCGATCATTTAGGCGTAGCGCCATCTCTCGCCAGATTTCAGAATTCAGATCTGAAACATTTATTTTCGCATCAAAACTAACCCTGAAACAAAACAGTAAAATTGCTATTAGTATAAAACAGGGAATAATGACATTTTTGATCACATTTCGGTTCGTCATAAATGAAACACTTGCCAAATTTTAAATATCATCTCCCTCTTCTATCACACCCAAGGTGAGCTATAGTGTCATTGACACTTTCATTCCTCCAGTCATTATGCGTTGACGTGTCTGGCGCCCCCCTACCACACACACACACACACACACATCCGGTCGTGACACGCTAACGATGCTAATGAGACCATGATTAATGAATAACAATTCCATCTCGTTCTGCCAGGACAGAATGTGAATGTGAACCTCAAGCTGTTACACGTTTTACCAGCAGGTGAACCAATCACCGATTCCTCCCCCCACACCACACACATACACACACACACACACACACACACACACACACACACACACACACACACACACACACACACCCATAACGTACTAATAGTACTATGACCCATTTTTCCTAAGATTCTAACGACGCTAATGATGCTAACGACGTGTGTTTCAGACACGAAGCTGCGTGAGGAGCTGAGTAAGGCTCACCTGCTGCCGCCGCCGGCAGTGACAAAGACGCCGCGCCGCCGTCGCCACGTCGGCCAGTTTATCGCCGAGCGGACGGACGAGTGGATAGACAGTCCGAACAAGCTCCACAAGAGGGGGTCGAATCACCTCCGCCAAAAGACGGTAGGTCGCGGCGCGCACTGTGGTCGGGGTCAGTTGCCTGGCACACATGTGAGGCGGGCAGTTACGCCGCATGTGGTCGGGTCATCTGCAGGGCACATTGGTCGTCCGTCGGCTTACCGGCGCATGGGGGTCTGTACAGGTCGCAGCGCGCGATGTGGGGTCCTGGTCAGGCCGCAGGCGCCATGGGGTCTGTCAGTGCTGCACGGCGTTTTATGATTATTGATTGTATGTTATAGATACATGTTGTTGTTAAAAATAATGTGCTTACTAACGATTATCCTTGTCTTCCTTCATGTAGAAGCAGGTGTTGTCATCGGTTCTTCAATTCACGTCTGA